TGCGAGCGTAACAAATTGGCTAATTCTGACCATCATGTTTCCAGTGTCAATTGTCCGGTTTATATACATAATAAACATGTAAAAAGAATCATGGCGGTTCATTGCCTGGGCCCTCTAGATGCTGAAAATTTCATCAAGGTCAGTGGTCTCACTAAGGATAACTATTCAAATGGATCTTCCTCGATTACCTTGGAAGATTTTTGGCCAAAGATTATTAATAAACCATCCGTTGTGTCTTATGCGGAGGCTCTTAAGTCTTCAAAAAAAAGTAAAACGGCTTTACCTCTGGTAAGCCCTGGTAATAATGGATGTATATCAGTTGAACACGGGGCAATTGGACACAGTCCAATCACAAGTCGCTGTTCCAAGGGACCCTACAAATGTCTCTAATCACACGGTGCTGTGATTGGCTGTGTCCAAATGCACCGTGTCCAAGTGCACCGCTCCCCTCGAGCGGGCACCCCTCAATAATAAGTACGTCCGATACAAGTAATGAGCGAGGAGGAACCCGAAGGTTTCGATTTCCAATCCTGAACGATTACGATTACGCGCACGCTTCCACAGTAAAAATCAACTCCACCAGTCTTATCCGAGATACTAAATTAATGGTAGATACCGGGACTGCGCCCAACATTATTAAAAGTCATATGAACTCAGACGTTAATATAAACCGCAACCAACACAATGAATATGGCTCAGCACAGCATGGATTCTTTGAAATGGCATTAGATGATGAGAGCTTACCTGATGTTGCGCCCCAACCTCCAGAGAAAAGGAATAAGAGTGTGGCACCAACAACACTTTTACTCACTAGGGGAGGAAAAAGAAGAGCTGATGAGGGTGAAGGAGGAGAAAAAACACAACACTATCCTTTCACATCAACATCCAAGGGAACTCAAGTAGGACTCACAAAAGCAAAAAAAATTCTTCGCCTGTTGAAGCAAATCATAAGAAATCAAGAGGTTGAAAAAGAAACCACCAAATCTATTTTAACCCAATTGAAGAGTCTGGAGGAAACTATGGTAAGATTTCATCAAGAATGCAATACACGCATAGATAACAGCGACACAATGAAAACAAGGATAACAGAGTAACCATTCATAGAGATCAAGCAGTAGAAGCACCAATAGCACAATCCTCTGCACCCCTGACCACAACTCATAACTCACAAAAACTATCTGCTTCTCTTGGTCTTTTTCAAAACACTGTAAATGTAACGAAATGTCGGTCCACAAAATGTAGGACCAACATTTCAATCCGCGGGGGGAGGTGTCGCGTCCGACCAGGCCACCAACCAGTAATAATTTTTTGTCCAAACAATCCTTTGCCTGAGACACTCCAGGTACGAAACCTTTCTTCCCCAAAAGGAAAGCATCACAGATGGCATTATTATCATTCAGACCTTCCTCCTAAAGGCGGGATCACAAGAGCTCAGTAGTAATAGAGTAGTGACCGGTGAGGCAGTCAGTCAGAGTAGGATGCCGGGATCGGAAGTCCAAAAATAGTCCTCACCTCCAAACTCCTTTTCTCTAAATCATTATCTCTAGATCGTAGTTTTCTCTATCTCTTAAGCAATTAACTTTAGATTATCCTTAACATTTCTGAATATTTACGAGCGTTTTATGCATAATTTTTTAGTTGTTAAACAGTTCGTCTTAGTTATTTCGTTACTTCCGTTACTCTAGCCACACTTAAGATACCTTTGTGAGTAGATTATATATCAAGAATTACACAATATACAGGGTGAGTCATTTTAGTCTATGGATCCGAATATCTTCCAAATTACGGTATCTACAAAAAAATGGTTTAGATAAAAGTTGACCAGGACAGAGGGGGTCATTCAATTGTACCATTGGTTTTGACCTTGAGGTCAATTTTGAAGGTTACTTCAAGGTCACGATGGTTTTTTCTAATGGGACACCCTATTTTTGACTGCGGATTTCGAAAGAGCGGAAAAT